CTTACAATACGTACCAATGGTACGTGCTTGTGTGTGTGTGTGTGTGTGTGTGTGTGTGTGTGTGTGTGTGTGTGTGCGCGTGAGTGCGTGCCATCCTAAATGTTGCCCTGGGAAAAGAGTTCACTGGGTTGCTGGAAAAACAGGAAGGCATCTCATGCTCTGGATTGGGGAGGGTAGAAGAAGAAGAAGAAGAAGGGGAAAAAAAGTACCGAGCAGCCCCCGCATTACATAACCAGGCAGGAAATATGCAGCAGGGAGAGAGAGAGAGAGGGAGAGAGGGAGAGAGAAAAGGAGAGAAAGAGAGAAAAGGAGAGAGAGAGAGGGAGAGAGAGAGAGAGAGAGAGAGAGAGAGAGAGAGAGACTATAGGAAGACATGCATACACTGCACCTATGACACTTTCCTTAGAGGCTTTTCACATCTAATCAAATCTCTTCCTCTCCTTGTCCTTCTGTCGTTTTTTTTGTACACGGCAGCCACTACACGAGCCAGACAGCGCGACAAAAAGAGAGAGAGGGAGCTGCATAAACTCATTGAACCCCGCTTGTCCCCACACACACACACACACACACACACACACACACACACACACACACACACACACACACACACACACACATCAATAAATGATGGTCTGCACTTGGCCCAGGATGCATACATCAGATTGCACTGAAACAATATAAAACATTGTTTCTGGGCTGGATTAGGCTGCAACACACTCATCCCTCATTGTGCAGCTCTGGGTGTGTGTGTGTGTGTGTGTGTGTGTGTGTGTGTGTGTGTGTGTGTGTGTGTGTGTTTAATCCATAATGTATATAGGTACAAACACACAGCTATTATACTTATTCTGAGAGAACCACAAACACACACACACACAAGCACTGGAGTGGACAGAAGGGTTGCAGCGTGTGTGTTTTTTATATGAAACATGCAAAAACACAATGCTCTCCTGTCTGATTGAGTCACACCTGACAGTGTTGTGTTTCTCACGTGGTTACGTAACAACCAAGTTTTAAATTGTCTTTGTCCTCTTCCTGAGAGACAGCCAAACACTGACCCTGAACAGAGGAAGTTTGCATGAAGCGGGACACACACACACACACACACACACACACACACTTATCAATCTTCAAAAAATGAGAAAATAATGTTAGAGGGCACAAATAACAGCACTGTGTACTCAGGACCAAGCACAAACAAATTCATGCACACAACAGCTGGCAGCCTGATAGTTGACCTTTTGCTGCGCTTCACTGTCTTGCCTACAGTGACAGAAGACAAAACGTTTCACATTCTTAACCAAGTCCTTCACGTTCCAAAAACTTCTACTCTGAGATTATAAGACTGTGTGGTATGTAGTATTCTGCCACTGGCAAATATTTGCCCTTCTGTGTTATCTATTAACACGCTTACACTCCACATTAGCTGAAGTGCTATTTCTCATAAATAAAAAGTTCTTCTTGGTAGTCAAGTCAACAGTGTCTTCGACTACAGCTGCTGCTCTATCTGATTAGCTGCTTGCATGTCTGCGTGCGTGCGTGCGTGCGTGCGTGCAGGTGCGTGTGTTTTTTTTCGTCTCGCCAGGGCCAGATGGCAGAGAATGTTTAGTCAAATGGGATTAGAGATTAGGATTAAGTGGACTTCAAATTACCTAGACGCACAGTCACTGGATGACACACTACTACAGCAGAGCTCTCAGGAGCAGACGCCCTGCAAGTTCAGCAACACAGACTCTGTTAAGAATCATTAGAATACAAAGTGGGAAAAGTCAGGAAAAATAAAAATAAAAATAGTTTGACTGGCTCAAAATGTTAAAAATGTGTTTCTTATAAATAACCAGTGCAGTATTGGAGAATAGTTGATATTTTGGGTATTTACACTTGTTGTCTTTCTTGCTTTCATATGTGTTCGCTAAATATGAAGCTAATTAGCTTAGCATGAATACTGAAAACATGGGAAAACAGCTAGCCTGGCTCTGTCCAAAGGTTACAAAAACTTCTTACCAGCACCTCTAAAGCTCATCTATTAACACATTATTTCTCTTGTGTTAAATAAGCACAAAATCTTAAAATGTAACTAGAAGAGTGCAGTCAGTAGAGTGCAGGTCTCCATCAGACGTGTACAGGTATAGTCACCAGATCTGCTCAGGGTCCTGCATTTACAGATGACGTAACTCAAATAGGATTGGCTGTACGTAGGAAAATATACAGGTGCCATTTGTTTTCGCTGCAGATACCTTATTTTGAAGGTGCAATTATTTGCGTAGAGCAAGAGATCTCCACTTTTCAACATACAGCCAATCATAATGTGTTAATGAGGAACCCTGAGCAGATCTGGCAGGCCACTGGCTCCTTCACAGCCGACATGGTGGTGAAGATAACAAAAACTGGTTTTTATTCATTCGTATCCTGCCTAGCTTTAGTGGCTCATAACATATCGGGTATGGAAGTGATTTGCAGATGCTCCGGTTCAAGATGACACCGAACTTTTCTTTGTATGTGAGTTGACGAAGGTCAAAATGTGGCCTTCAACAGGCTAGGCAAGCCTTGTTTTTAATGCAGCTGCCTGGCGTTAATGCCTTTTACTATGTCATATAAAGGACGTTGCAAAATGGCAAATACTGTGCCCCTACTGGCCAGTTAAGAGGAGTGAGGAGTCAGCAGTCAATGGCGGTATAAAACATGAGCATACAACAAAAAATTGATAGAATGTGCTGTTAAAAAACAGGCTAGCTGCCCTACCCTTGCTTTCTGTCTTTATGCTGAGCTAATCTAATTTATCGCCCGCTGTAGCTACATGTTTATTGTACACCCACATAAGTGGTATCAATCCTCTTATCTAAGTCTTGGCAAAACAAAGCAAATAAGCTAGTGCTTCATGTCTATTCCTAATTATGCTTCCAGTGACTCATCTAGTCAATAAAATATCAAACAAGAAACTACAGCCATGCTAGGTCTGACATAAATGCTAACATCAGGATCCTAAAATGCTTAAAATGACTAACACATTGATGTTTAGCAGGTTCTTTGCATGTTGCAATCTTAGTTTAGCATGTAAACATTAACACTAACTACAAATTACAGCTGAGGCAGATGGGAATGTAGTTCTAAAAATGAGGGGAAAATGTCCATCACTATTACCCTGCACCCAAACGTCACAAGTCAAAGTCAAAGTGATGCAGAGAAAAACAAATATTCATTTGAAGCCTTCACTGGCTGCAGTAAAGCCAGTACCGGAGGCCTAAACTCCATAGCAAACAGGCCAGAAAAAGACAACAAGCATCTATAGGCTGCAGCATGTGTTACATAAGTCAGCCGGCAATCCCCCCACAGAGGGCCTCCTGTATAGGACAGTGGGTGCTCTGTGAACATACACAGCTTACCGAGCTGCTACATAGCAGCAATGGACTGAGAGGGAGAGACAGAAATGGAACACTAAAACTGGGTGAATTATTTTGCGGCTCACTGACTGATGCAGCTATACATATAAACACATACACACACATATATACATGAATACAAAGGAGAGCTTTAAGCAATCATCAAATCAAATACTCAAGAACGCTGAAAACTCCATTTTCAGAGCACTTATTATTGTGTGTGTGTGTGTGTGTGTGTGTGTGTGTGTGGGAGGCCACAGTTGCAGGTTTCCCATTTCAAAGCTGGTTTGGTGTGTTGATTCTTTGTGCTCATTGTCTGCAGCTAATGAGTTCACTCTGTGCATGTATGCGCGCGTGTCCATAGATGATCCACTGCATCGCTGTGCGTAAATCACTAATTAGCCTTGTGACCGTGGATGCTGCCCTAGTTCTCCACTTCTAAGAGTGTGTGTATGCGTGGTTCAAGAGGCTGAAGCCTTATGTCATTCTGTTGCGCAAGCTTCCTTCTTTAAAATCAGAATGATTCAGCAGTGCCTGGAGGTACCAGACCAGACTCACTGTGGCACTCAAGATAAGAACACAACACACCTAAAGTTTCCAAAGACAATGTATAAGATGACTGATTATATTTTTTTCATATTCACAGATCCTCTCGTTGTTTCTGTTTGTTTAATTACAGAGACAACAGAGATGAAAAAAAAATCACCCGAAGGGAAAAGAAAACATTAGTAAGTCTGATATAAAAAATGTGCAACAGAAGGAAAGAAAAACAATCCATCCAAACACAGAAAGGGTTATAAAAACCAGACACCAGTTGCAGAGTGACCTTTACTATCAGTGTGACTCTTATACTGTATGGTAAGCCCCCAGTGAGCTAGAGGCCTGACCCAGTTTGGAAAGAGAGAACGTGGGACACTTGCACACACATACACACACACATACACACACACATTTCCAGCTATTATATGGCTGGAAATATTTTTAGTCATGTGGATGAGGTCAAACACTGGGAGCCTGTGAACTGAACTTGCACTGAAAGAATACGTCTTTGACTCGGACTGAAAGCTTAAAGAAAGAGATGATGGAGTGTTAGCCGAGAATGCGGAACAATTGTCCAATTCTTAGGAACAGGGGTGAGAAAAAAAAGTGGCAGGTAAGGAGAGGGAAAGGGAGCGCCAAAAGAGGCCTTTGGAGCGACGCCAGGTATTGTGTAAGTGGTTTTACAGCAGGCAGGCACACCTTGGTTGGAAAGGGGTACGACACGCCGCTGGATAAACAAAGAGCTGCAATCACTGCTGTGAAAACACACTCTCTCCTCACAGCCTGAGCCGGTGGTTTATACCACTGTCAGAGCAGAAATGAGCTCAGCTAAGCTCCACTGAAAGACAACAGCACAAATCAAGTGACTAGTCATTATCAAACAAAGAGCTGGGAAAAACGTATTTATGACAGTAAAACAAGGTGGCAGCAGGCAAACAGTGCACAATACTCTGTGCTGTGTAAGCATGCCAGCGAGATCGGTTAGATAAAGGTAAAACTAGCGCTAATGATGTCATGTGAAAACCTCTCAAATCCAATTTTTTTTTTTTTTACTTTTTCACTTCAGTGACACAAAACACATCATTCTCTATTGTTTGAGAAACTTTAAGATCCTTTGGTTTATTGAACATTTTTAAAACTAGTTGGATGAAGTTAAAAGTACATTCTGGTTAAGCTAAAGACGAGGCAAATAAAGTTAAATCCTGAAATGCTAACAGTATGACGGACTTAATTTAAGGCATATTCTGCAAAAACAGAAAAAAAAAAAAAACCTCTCTCAGTTTAATTTCAGGCAGCTGCACGCGCCATGAAAATTACTATAAAATTACTACAAAAATGAGTCTCTTCAAGGATACATACTCGGAGCACATTAACAACTGCGAATGAGAATAAAAAAATATTTTGCCTGTCCTTTGTTATCCACATTCGGCAAGGATCGTTGTTATTAAATCCTCTATCTACAGGGCTGAGAAGGTCATCCCATTCAAAACAGGTGCTCCAACAAACAACAAATAAGACGACTGAACAGCAGGATCAAGGAGAAAATATAGTTCAGTTCGACTCTATGGGAAGGAAGACAGTAGCCCTATAAGGACTGTAAGGAGACATTCAGCTGTTAGTGCAGAACAGTGGTGGACATCTGAATGAAGATTTATGTAGTCCAGAGTCTGCCTCTTAAAATGTCACAGGTACTTTCTTGTGTGTTGTCCTGGTGTCTGGGGATGACTCCAGAGAGGTTTCACTGCAGCCCGGGGCAACGGCAGCACAAGAGTCCTTTGAGAGGTTCTCCTCTATCACTGCAGCAGAAGCAGGAGGTGCAGTGGTTACCTGGGATTGGTCACAGGCTGGATCAGACTTCCTCTTCTTCCTCACGTTATAGTGATGCTTTTTGGACTTCAGGTGAGCTGCAGGTGAAGAAAATAGGGAAACTGATGGATACAGTTGGTGTGAGAAAAAGCTCTTTTCTCTCAGTGAAACTAGAATTATCGCCCCGTGGCTTCATGCCTCCACCAACCAGTCAGTGTAGTTTACATCCATGTCTTACCAGACTTATATAACATATGTATTGAAGACTTTGGATGATTTTAATAATAGGTATTAAGTGTATTTTTTGGCTAAATAGAAGATATTACATCATATTGATGGTAAATATGTAGGATTTCAGTGAATATACATTTTTTAACTGACAAATGAAGTCTTATCATAGATGTATTGGCTAAACAGGTAAGTAAGTGACAAGGGCAGAACGGATGAGATGGAGAGATATAAGCCTGGACAATGCTACTTATTGTTTACTCAGTGTGTCATCCCAGTCAACATGTATTTGGAATCTCTCAATTCATTCCTAAATTATGACTAAATACCTATTTTTAGGTCACAATGATGTTTGACCTTTGAGCCAAAAGTGTCACAAATTCAGTGTCCATCCAACTGTGAAATAAGCTCACAATCTCCCCTTCTGTTCCTGAGTTATGGTGTTGAATAATGTTTAAAAAAAGTGTTTATCAAGGACATTATGAGTTAAGTTCACAAGAAGAAGTCATGCACAAGAAAAAATAAGTAGAAACTCGGTGTCAGAGCCGACGCCAGAGGTGAGCAGGTTTGTCATCACACCTCAAGGCAGTAAGGCTTTTGAAGTAGTTTGGATGGCCTCTATTCAGGTAATAACAATTGTGTACTGTCACTGAGAGATTTTAGTGTATACTAAAGACCGATTTTATAGTGTATATATTCTTATGGCTAAATATAAGCACAAACGAATTGCAAGTGATTCTGTGTGTCGTTATCATATTGCACACTGTGGGTGGACAGACTCACCTGTCCACTCCAGGTCCCCGATGATCACTTTGTCACACAGATCACATGAGTGGCGGCTCCGTTTGTTTCTCTGCTCTGTGCCCTGTACTCTGATTGGTGCAATAGCTGGCTCCTCACCCTGATTGAATGAGCAAAACAGGTTTAAGTTTCAGGGTTTGGTGCTTAAAGTTTCCCTGTAGAGTTTTCAACAATGTCTTTTTACACTCAGTGTTATTCATCAAAAGATATTGTACTTGAGGCCTGACAAACGTGTTTCATGCATTCCTTTCCTCAAAACTTTCACAAAGCTGACAAAAAAAATCAATTGTGCATTCTTTATATTGTTCATTGCTGCCTTTGTTGGCATGTAACTGCCACAAACGGTCCATCGGCAAATTAGTGTGAACAACACAAACAAAACAGAAACCCAATTGTAAAAGCACTGCTCCTACAAGTGGTCCAATACTCAACAGGGTTCCTTCAAGTGTTTATGAAATTCTGGATCTAACTATTTAGTAATAGAGCAGGGCATAAAAGCAAGATGACGCGAAGCGAGGGTAAGGAAGGACAGAAAAGAAGGAGGGGGGTGGATGAAGCAACAAAGTAAAAGAGAAAGAACAGAGAGAGATTAAGATGGAAAAATGATGAAAAGGAAGGAAGAGTTGGTCAGGTCGTAAGGGGCTGAGATAGGAAAGGGAGAAAAATGAAAGAAAGGAAGGAATGCAAAAGAGTGGAGGAAGGAAAATTGCAAGTAAGTAACACATGGAGGTAAAAGAGGCAAGTAAAGTGATGGAAAAGGATGAAAGAAATGGAGAAAGCAACAAAGGCTTGAAAAATAGAGGGTAAAGGAACAAAACAGAGTAAAGAAGGAAGCAGACGTATGGTTGTGTCCCAACAGCAGGTGAAAGCTGCTGACAGGCCCCACCTTGCTCAGACTGTCCAGTATCTGCAGTGCAGGGTTCAGCACCATCTCCTCCCACCTTGACACGTCCGTTACGTCCAGGCCATACACCACCGGCACGTTGTCTCCCGGTCCTACACGCACACACACGTCAAACACAGCACGCATTATGCATTTTACAAGGCCAGCACAGGCTGCTAATAAATGTAATTAAGGTTGTTTTTTTTTAAAGCAAATATTTTGATTCAGTGTTTCCACTATTTATTTTTAATGGACCTGTGGAAAAGCCTCTGACAACAACACTTCAACCAACAGCTACTACGATTACTAAGTTGTGTTAGTCACAATAATTCTTTAGTGTGTTTGAGATAAGGTTTTCTCATAGACAGCCAGTGTGCTGATACATTTTACACTCAAAACCATCATCCATGATATCAAAGAAGTTTGACGCTGACATTGAGTCTTAATATGGTGAGATATATTGACTGGCTAATTATATAGCTGATTATTACCTCTAATAATAAACCAAAATGAGTGGCATTATTTTAGGGAGGCTGAGGTAGAAACTCGTACAGACGGGGAAATATACAGTAGCAGTGATGTGCTGGAGCCGCACCCTGAAGCTCTGTCAACCTGCTGACTCACACTGGCTCGATAATGTCTCTCCCTCTCTCCCTTCTTCCTCCCACCCTTCTCTCTTGCGCACCATCTCTCTCTCCCTGTCTTGCCATCAGTCTCGCTTCAGCTTTCACTCACTCTCTCATTCTCTCTCCCTCCCTCTAACTGTTCCACCCCCGTGTTTCTATTTTGCATCAGTCAGCAGTCTCCAGGCCAGGCCTCAGCACTAAACAGCAGCACCAGACCCTGCCCTGCTTGCCTGCTTGCCTGTCTGTCTATCTGTCTGTCTGTCTGTCTGCCAATCTGCACCAAGAGCCACTGCCCTGCATTGATTGAAGACACACAGACGCACAGGGAATGAAGGTGTCTGTACATTGTAGAGAAAGTGACTTCAAACAACTGCATCTGTATGCAAACAAAGTCAAATTTTAGGCACACATAAATACATTTATACCTAGTAGAGTTACAAATTAAGACTTATACAATAACAGACTAAATATGTAACCAGAAAATACAAGATAAATAAAGAAGAGTCAAATTTAAAGGGCATATACACAAAATAATTTTAATGAAAACAAGCAAGGTGTGCTTCAACGTGACTTACGCTGCTTAAGATTAATACTGTTGAGTTATGCCGTACCTATAGCGGCCATGTGTGTAGGCTCTGAAGCAACGGCATATCATATCATGTATGATACACTTCTTTAGTGTTGCGGTGGTGATACAAACGAATGAAATACAGGGCTGAGCTATAAATCAAAACCCGCGCCGTCGATATCTACATTAAGCCTGTCGTCAACCCCTCGAGTCAAGCATAAATCTGCCACAAGAGTTTACAGCCAAGCTAGCGACTCCCCGAGGCTGTACTCCAGCACAGTGGTGCTTTGAGATAAATGCTAATGTAAGCATGCTAACATGCTCTCAATGTTACCCTAGCAGGTATGATGTTAACCATCCTTTTTTTATTGTTAGTATAGTAACATTTGCATGTTCGCACTAAAAAACTAAAAGCAGGGATTTTGTCATAAACCACAGTATTGGAGACATTATAATGTTGACCTGATGATGGCGCTAGAGGAAAAATCAGTGGATCACTTTAGTCAGTAGGATTCATCCTGTGGGGAACATCAATGTCTGTACAAAATATCAAGGGAATCCATCCAATAGTTGTTGAGATATTTCAGTCATGGCCACAGTAGTGAGTCACTGCCAGCATGGCTAACTATGTAAAAAAAAGACACAAGGCTGGATAAAGTCAGGTGAATCTTTCTCATAAAATACCAGCATAGAAAGCACACACACACTTATGTAAATGAATCCCATTAACCTGTAAGACACAGTTAGCCAACTCAATTATTTCTTAATCCTTTCCACACACAGACTGAACTGTGGCGTTGAGGGCAGCAGACACCCTATAGACTGAAGTTACTAAGTCTGCTGGGAACTGTCTGGGACTCCATTATTACAGAGGAGTACAGAGTGGTAACTGTGCAACTGGTCATCTGTACAACAAACTGCATTGACTCTGTCAGAGGAATGAGTGTGTGTGGGAAACAATGGGAGTCTTCACACAGCCCCGCCTGAAAGCTCTAAACTTTGGCCTGGTCCTTGGCACACGCAACATTTCAACTCCTTCTGGTCTACATTTGCATACTGTTGTTGGTTTAATGTGCCGTCAGCCACTTAAACATTTGATGTATTTCACTCATTTCCTGTCGAGGCCGGCTTTGCCTTAATTGAATAGCTGACAAAGGGGCGTAAAAGCAAAGTAAACACAGAGATCCTTAATGGCACCGTCTCAGCACCCCTGCACCTGCATCATTTGGCTTCTCAGTGTGTGTTTTCTCCGCTTTATCTGCGCACACTACTAATCCCAAAACTCTGCCCAGCATGTGTGTTCATACAGATGGACAGTAGGTCAGTTTGTCAGTGTGTGTGTGTTTTTCTTTTTTAAAAACAGCAGTGACTGTTAATCAAAGCCTCAGGTTTCACTGGTGTGGTTACTGTGTGTGTTTCTGTGTTAGAGGGGGAAGTCTTTTGTGTTTGTGGCACAATAGCAGGCAGGTGGTGGCGGACAGCGTCACCTGGCATACCTATACCAGATGCAGAGTTGGAGCACCCTCCCTTAGGTGCTCTAATAAATACTCCCCCTCGCCAGCCGCCCTCCTGTGCCCTGCTGTTGCCACTATCTCTCTCCTTACTTTGTTCTTTTATCTCTCTCAACATCACCCCCCCAACCATTCAACTACGAACCTCCCACTGGGCAGAGTGGAGTGGTGGTAAATAAAAGGGAGATAGTGTATGGTAGGTTGCCAGATGCTGGATGGAAACCCCCCCCTCCACCCAACACCCCACCAGCATTCTTGTTTGGGATCTGGTGAAATTTAACTCTGCTAATCCACTCTGTAGTGAATGAGGGTGGATAAGAAATGCTGAGGGGACAAAGAGCAGGGTGGTCGACACGCACGCACGCACACGCACGCGCACGCACACACACACGCACACACACACACACACACACACACACACACACACACACACACACACACACACACACACACACACACACACACACACACGCATCGTACACCACACACTGTGAGCGTTGCCTTTCAAGCACACAGGGGAGCCTTGCCAACAAGAAAGAGCATCTCCTGTCGCTGGGCAGCTGCTTGCCAGTGTTGAGTGTGTGTGTTGAAACAGTAGTCCACCTGTTGCAACAAACGGGCCAGCAGTCATTTGCTGCGTTATCCCTGTGTTTGCTGAGTGAGGATGTGCGTCCGTGTATGCTTTGCTATAAAAACTCCACTACGGTAGTCTCAGTGCAGCGGCCCCCCGGCCCAGCTGTGCTTCTTTGGCTGTTGTCCACACTGGAACACGACAGCTGCCTCTATTCACTCAACAGCCTCCTTCCTCTTTCCTATAGTTCCTTTTCCACTTTTTGTCTCCCTTACCTTCTTCTGTTGTTCATGACATATCTGCAGTAGGTCAGGTATAGGTCAAGGATATTTCTGTAGATTCGGCCAAACTGATAACAAAAATATGGATTCATTTTATCTGGCTGTTTGGTGGGATACAACAGAAGGAATCTAATCCGCATATCCATTATCTGTACTTTCACTCCCCCCTCCATTATGGGGTTTCTTCTCCTTCACTCTAGCTCTATTAAAGCCGCTATAATCAATATGTCTATGTTAACAGTAGCCATGTTTCCATGAGCCTGATTTGATGAGCATTTTGAAGTATCGCATTAGAAAAGGTTGATGGAAATGGAAACGTCCTCAAAAAAGTTTTTGCCATTTAAAGAAAAGTTACATGTACTTAATGGGAGATGGAAACACAGTCCAAATAGGTTCTGATGTAGTGAACATTTCAGTCACATGACTGATTAGCTTGCTTCCACTCTGACAGTCTCATCACTCCCATGGTTCTATAATATGGCTATAAACTGATCTAACCTTCCTCACGTTAATACATGAAACTAGCAGAAATTTAATTTTTCCACCCTGTTTTCTGAATAGTTTTTCTCCATTTGTGGTTCGACTGGCACTCTTATAATTACACCATCTTCTTGGGGCCTCTTCTTGGGGTTTTTCCCGCTGAAGAAGTGGCGCCACCTACTGCTTATTTTAATGAGCCCACTCATAACAATGGCATAACGGTAATGGATGGAAACAATTCATCAGCATTCATTCACATTTCCTTTTACCGATTTACTTGAAATTAGTTTAAAATTTGTGAATGGCAGTTCCTTTAATCTCTAATTCAGCATTTAAGCGTCTTTTAGCTCATTGTTTTGGTTTTGTGGTCCGCAACTTTACTGTCTGGGATCATTCTCACCACTTCCATAGCGCTGGTTTCGGACACAACGGGCCGCTGCTTTTAGACAAGAAGTTCTGGATATGCTATATACCTAGCACCAAAAGTCCATCAGACACAGTAGCTAGCTGGTGAACATAATGGAGAATTTAGCTTGAGTTCGTGGAGACTGAAAAAAAACTAAAGAGCTAAAAGATGAGGTGGACGGAAACTTGACTCAAAATGAATGCTAATGTCGCTGCAGAACTGCTGGATGTGTAAATAAACAATTTGCTAACAATAAACCCATATTTATTTAAAAGGTCATTTGTCAATGTTACGTTCAAACCTTTTTTGTGCTGCCCCCAAGTGGCCAAAAAAGTCAGTAATTGCAGGTGTAAGTTTCCATTAAAATGCTGCTGAAGTTTTAGGCAAATGTCATACCTTTGTATGAAAATATCCAAGAGAATGTGACGAGATTGCATAATTAATGCAGCAACAGTACAATACGTCAAGCTGCTTTTCACCTGCGATGACAGATGTGTTTTTTAATGAATGACTTTGTCTCTTCGATTCACATCTACCCTGGGGTGTTTTTATGAACCGCTATGGTGATAGAGAGGGGGGAGATATGCAACAAGGGACCCTTTCGAGACTCGAACCAAGGAGGTTGCAGTTCCATACCCTTATGACTGCTATTTTTATTTTTATTTACAGGTTTAGTTTTATTTTTATGGTTTCTCTTGGAATGGTGGACTTTCTTCTCTCTCTCTCTCAATTTGCCAACTTTTCCAGCTCAGCCAACCACAAGCTTTTTTGCAATATATATATATTTTCAATTTCTTGTTTTTTCACTCAATGCACTGATGGATTTGTACCTACTACTGTATCTCCTCTAACCCCCATGTGTCATTCTCATCTTCTCCAGCCCTCTCTCCACCAAGTGGATGTGACAGGGAGGTCTTTGTGGCAACAACAACCCTGGCGCGAATCCACGGGAGGAGGTTGCATTTGTGTGTGTGCGTACATGAAAGCTTCGCACTTGCTCAAAGACAAGGGTGTAAACTCGCCCCACACCTGTTCCCGCGGCTGGATCAGATTACCTTCACTTTCCATCCACCCAGCTACCCATGTGTTGTTCCTGCCTCTCCCTCTCTGTCTCCCTCCATCCATCCTTCACTCACTCATACATTCACTCTCTTTCTCATGTGACTAAAAGATACCTACACCCCTGTTACTTAACACTCACAGGACCTCAGTCAAACTACACCTGCGTATCCTGGTTACAGGTAAAGCGTGTGTGCTTGTTTGCATGTCTTTGGGGAATAAAAAAAAAACTCTAAGGGCATCCTCCGCATAAAATGTGGCACTTATTAAAATTAGTATAACCTCAAATTACCATTTTCTTTATGGGTAATTAAATCGACTAATTAAACATTCCCCTATAACCACACAGACACACAAGCGTCCTATAAGCGTACTCCCACATACGCACACACTTAAAGACAAGACAAATTAAGCTTGATTTAATTTGAGCTGGCTGACCTGGTGTTTAAATCCCCACAGCAACAAAAGTTGAGTGCACCAAGAACTGCGTATCCTGCTGAAAAGTATTTAAGACACTGAACGCCCACCTGCTCCCTCACTGACAGTCGCTGTTTAAATCTGTGAACTATAAAACTGGGTTAAACTTGTGTCTTCGAGGCATGTGATTCTGTGTCTCTCTCTGTATATTTACATGAACGTTCACCAATCAGGTCATTTTCTAGCTTCTATAACCTACTTCATTCTCTGACTGAGGCTCTCTGTCATGTCCAATTTGTCTTTCCCTTTGACCCACTAGTCTCCGTGTGCTCGGGTAGGTCTGCATAGCCCCCAGTGACCCTGTTGCCCGAGTTTGTGTGGTCGGGGCAAATTCCCGGCAGCTCTGTAATGCTTCAAGAGATTAGCCTGCTCAGCTGAGGCCTGCCGGCATCTGTGTGTGTGTGTGTGTGTGGGGCTCAGACGAAACAGAAAAGAGGTCAGCAGTCACAGCAAGAGAGCAAGGAGAATAGAGACAATACAGACCGAAAGGTGGGAAGAGCGGGGTTAAAGAGCAAGGCCCTGGGTTAGGACATTGCCAGCCAGGGCTGGACACAAAGACAAGGTTGTCCTATAGGTAAATACGGCAAGGCTCTGACACTAAAAAAACATCTGAAATAGATATTAACATCAGGGACTATAATCCTGGTAAGATATTTTTACAGGAAAATTACGGCATTTAGAGGTTTGGGAAACATGGACTCCAGTAAGGATAATGTCTGTTGAGGCAAAGGAGCCGAGCCTCTTACTGCTTTCCAAAACATTGAATACAGTGGCTACATGGATTTTCAGGGGACTACTTTCTTAGTTTACTTTTAGTCAGACTCAAGACTAAGTGTTTGAGAAGATTACTGCAAGTCTGAAGCTTTTTTTCATGCTTCTTGGCCAGATCAACACCATTCTTACTAAAGTCTGCAATTACCGAACAGCCCGCAGGGTGAAACCCAGGGTGGTCGGGCAAAGAAACTCAACCAGACTTACTTTTTACTGCAGCGCAACGCAATGACATCTGGTGGGACACTGTGTTGGCAAACAAATATATGCAAGCACACGCTCCTACAAGATAACCTACAAACCTGTTGCCTGTAAAATGAACCCAGTATTTATATGGTCAGGAGACCACAATAGCAACAGGTATTTCAGGGGACAACATGATTTCTGTTCAATTGAAATGTTTGGAGAACTGTATGAGCCCTGGTTGATGTTGTTTACCAGAGGTGGTAAATAAAACGTATTATCATCAGCAGTGGTCATAAAAAAAATGGAAACTAAAAAAAAAGTTAATACAATCCAGGTTTACAAATATCAGAATTTCCCTTTAAGGCCAATAGACTGATTTTTGTGTGTGTCTAGACATAACATATCATAACCAACAGCCAAATCAGACTCAACTGTCTTGCAAATTGTTCTGAATGGAGTCTAAGCAGGGTCTTCGGGAGGGGTGCACATGCATGAGCAAAAGCACAGACAACTTCAGACAGATTATATATCATATGTAAAAGCGCAGGAACACAAATACACACACATGTGATGACGACCATATGGTGTGTGCAGCGGGGAAGGCAGGCGGTCAGAAAGAGGGGTATTGAGGTTTAGGGCCTGGCGTGGCCTAAGCCACTCGGACCTAACAGGATTAGGAGGTTGGGTTACTGCAGGGCATGCTACTGGTGGGACACAGAGGCCAGGTTTCTGTTGGGGACAGGGAAACACACTGAGCCTTCACATATGTATTAAAACACGTCTGACTTCCAGCAGTTGCGACCAGGGTGGGAAATCACCACCTGCCAGACACTGGTTGATGTTGGCTGTGGTGGGTACATTTATCCACTCTGCAGTGCCAGAAGCAACTGCTGCAGTTCACTTATATGCATTTGCTGCCACAAGGGACTTACTGCTGGGAAAAAAGCATTCAAGGGTCTTAGCTGCAGGTGTATACTGAGGATGTATCTTGAAATATTAGACCCTTTATAACGTCACAGCAGCTAACACACGCTGCATAAAATCAAATGTGCCAGTGAATAAAGTAACCTGGTGATTTTCAAATATATACTGCTTCTAAATGCTCTTGTATTTCTGAAGAAACATGGACATACTTTCATACAACATGTCATTTTGAACGTGGAAGTTCCTGCTGCAAAAAAACTAACGAGAGAGGCGTCAATCTTCACATTTAACTCTTGGCAAGAAAACAAAAAAAAGCACATTTCCCAAAATGTTGAACTATTTACTTTTTATGATATGAATATATTATTACGGAAATAAATCTTTTGTAGAAAATGACTCCTTGGAAAAGAAAAACAATTACCGGTTTCATTTTGAAGTTAAAATTGTACATTTAAATGTGCCTTACAAAAAAGGCTAAACTAAAATAGGCATGATGAGTAACTTAAAAATACACTATTTACTACAAAACTGTGCTGATGTTTTTTATTTTTTAGCAAATTATACAAAGAAAATCACCACATGTAATGATTGTTGACATCACCTCAATCCTGCTGTACACACAGACTGATGAACACACACACACACACACACACACACACACACACACACACACACACACACACACACACACACACACACACACACACACACACACACACACACACACACACACACACACACACACACACACACACACACACACACACACACAACCCTGGAACACAATACGGTGTCTGAGAGGCTTATTGTGTGTCTAATGGAGTGCATGAATCTCATCTTGTTAAAGAGAGTGCTGATTGCTATAGAACTCGACTGTGGAGGACAAAAACACAGGAACACATACTGCGTGAAGCGGGTGAAGGGTACTCACTTTTAAGGAAGCGGCTTCTGACCCATTTATTCTGTTTGCGTGCGTAACGTCTGGTAGCAATCTTCAACGCTTCTATACCTGCACAGAGTTTAAAAGGAGGCTGTTACAGATGAAAGGGGAGGAAGAGAACAATCTTTAAATAGATTCTTCTGGTTGATCGGTCAACCAGTCGGCCAACGGGAGAATCTTTATCCATCTTTGTGACTGTGATCGAGTATTCCTCTGACCTTTGTCTCGTAGTGTGTCTTTCTCCTGCTTGGTGCTGCTTTCAGGAGCGGTCAGGTAGTCATGAAACTCCTTAAAACCGATCGACTGGAAAATCCCATGTTGATAGTCCTGACTGTAGAAGAGAAGAGAGGAGAGGAGAGGAGAGGAGAGGAGAGGAGAGGAAACATTATCCATCAATTAAAAAGAAAGTTGCCGTCTCCTACTTGACATTTCAAGACACCCGGTGGTGACTCATTTCACCTTCTCCTCCTCCTCTATCTCTCCTTCCCTGTACAAAGAATATCAGTATGAGCAGATGGAAGGCCCTTCGGGGTACAAAGTGACAGAATAACATTAAAAAAACTGAATGGCACTGGCAGAGGGACCCACGGGTGCCGGGACTCAGTTGCCTGACCGGAGTGACATCAGGTTGGGGCAAAAGCCCAATGGTTAGCTTGCCAGACAGTAGAGACAGAACATTTCCATCACTGTCAGACCATATCACCCCAATCTAACCATTGCTGCCTGTTCTAGTCCGAGCTGTACCTTTCTCAGATCTTAGTAATAGCTCCACAATTTACGCGTGTCCAGTTCAATCACCTGAACATTTTCTGAATTTAGAGTGATTGCATAAAGAGTAGAGGTCAGCTGTGGTGGCATTTTTCTTTCTACCACTACAAGAAAAGTTTATTTTTTTTATCTTAACAGATGACTTGACAGTTGAGAAATCATGTCTGCACCTATTTAATGGAATACAGTAGCGCTGTTTACAGTATGTGTAATGGACAATATCGTGTACTCAAAAATATGTGTCTACTATTTGTATCTGTTCATTTTGGCTTGTACCTGCCAGGCTTAGACTGCGTCATTCTCTGTGTTTAGTTGTTTTCTGACCTACAAAAAAATGTATTTCATTGCCTTTACTTCCTCTGTGCTCATTGGCCCTATTCCCATTGTACCAGCCTTGTCTGGTTTAATTTTATTTGTAAAGCACTTTGTAACATTGTTCAAAGTACTACATAAATAAAGTGTATTGTTATGATTATTGTTATTATTATGATTATAAATCAGAGGTATTACTGGAAACATTTGGATGCTGCATGTATATGTTCCGAGTATATTCTCTGTTAGTATCCAAATACTGTATTCATATTTGCTTATAGCTCTAATAAATACTAAAAGTTTAATTAATCTGCAATTTTAGAGCTTTCTGCCATGTTCCCAGAGGTCTGATTAAAAGAAAATAGCACTGTTGAAAATTGTAGTTGAATTGCTCTTCTTCAGATGATATCATCCCATTCACCACTGCACAATGATCTGTACAGTTTGATAATTCTTAGTTGTTAGTGATTTTTATTATGGGCGGGATGCAGTTTTTGCAGATGACTTGTATTCTGTTAATGCTAACGTCATCACACTTGAAATCTTTAAAAACTTTTCTTTGAACTGACTTTGATTTATAGACTTATTTATCTTTTATCTATTCTATTGTTTTTATCTTCTCTGGTTCACCTTTTACCTATAATGCATTGTTCTTGCTGTCAATTTTGTCTCTTTGAAGATCATTTTAATTTTCTTTTTAAGACACTGTTTAACAAACATTATAATAATTTAAAAAAAAGACTATTTTTGGTCCATAACTTACACTTGTAACTGAAACAAGGAGAGGAAATAACAAAAATAAATCTGGCTAGACGGGCAGAGACAGAAATTTGAGAATAGCGACAGAGCACAGGAAATGTAGAGTCAATGGAGGGAGAAAAAAGAAAGACAGAGGAAGAGAGGGAGGGAGGAAGAGAGGGAGGGATTTGACCTTGATGTCTGGCCGCAGCAGCCAGTCGGGGATAGAGACATGAGGGTAAAGGAGAGAAAGACAGACGGACAAAGGAGGGGGGAGTAAAGTGCTCGGGTGATCAGATTGCTGAGAGGGCAATAGTGGCTGAGATGGAGGGAGACAGTGAGAGAGGGGGGATAGAGAGAGAGAGAAAGAGAGAGACAGAAGAGGAGGAGGCTGCTGGTTGATGAGGTTGGATGGGGTGATGGGGTGATGAAAGAAAGGAGGGACGGAAGAAGGGAATTGGCAGCTTCCTGGGCATCGTTCCACCAATGCATCAACTCCCCCCGCAGCCACACCCCATCACACACTTACAATATCAATATCTGCTGCCAACAAAGGCCCAACAGCAGTGTTCACATATCTGTTTCAGCTATTAGTGAAGGACACATACACGTTTATACACATTTCATGTTGCATACGGAAATCACTGTAAATTTGGTCCTGTAGTTGTAATTATTAACACAAAAAACTGCTCAATTTTATGCATCATGGTAACCCAGAGACATGACTCAGAACAGGAAACAGTGGATCCATACCACTGACAGTGTGACATTGCTCCAGTATGCTACCGGTCATGTGGTTACTGTTAAGGAAATGTCAGGGACAACTTGGTAATTGTAAGAAAGACAATATATCAGTCTTGAACACATTAACAATATCTTCAAATAGCATCTTTACAGACAACATAGCGCTGTAAGTAATTTGTTCCAGGGCCACCAGGATGTCCATTCATTGTGGGATAAAATTCCTGAGGCCCTGAGGTAATAAGCACCAATCACCAGACTCCCCTGGTAGTGCTAATGTCCTACAGAGGGGGCTTATCTCTGCAATTATTAATAATCACTGGACATTGTAAAGAAATATCAGTCCCATCTGAACTAAACTCGCAACAGTGTGGGCTGTATCTAAATTGGTCTCCAGGCCATTGGGAAACAACAGCATACAGAACAGAGTGACCTGTCAAGACAAGGAAATAGGAATAAATAACTGCTTGACCGAGTTCACTTCACTCTTATTGCCCTGGTTACATGGAAGAGAGGACTTAAGTCTGGATCCAGACTGAATGTCTGGATCATTAATTAAGATAGCAGGATGAGAATGTGCTTTTGAACTTGTTACAGAGACACTGCACCCTCAGACCAACCTTGTTGCGTTCAATAGCAGTGACGACAGGGCCAAAACCAAGAATGACATATGTTTTTGGCCCACAAAAGATTCATTATTCACTTCTGTATCTTTTAGGTGGAGTTTGGTTGATTTTTCATTAAAAAAAAGAAGTGCTAGGAACACAAGCCACATGTAGCCAGCATGTCTTTGCTTTGTGAAGGGAGGATAACCCATCATTTCCCATGGGTGTTGTACACACAGATCTATTTATTGTAAATATTATTCCAATTTTATCTTATTCCATTTTATTCTTGAACTACATTCCCTTGTGCTGCTGTGTCAAATAAAATGTTCCCTGCGGGGGATCAATACAGGTACATCTTATCTTATCTTAAAGGGGAAATGTGCTGATTTTACACATCAAAGTCTGTTTACTGCTCCAGATGTGAAACGAGTTGTATAAAATCTTTTGTGGCTCCAGAGAGAGTTGTGCATAGTCTGATAAATTGCCTCAAGCGATGTCACTTGATTCAGCATCAGTTGAAGATGTTTGAGAATGAAAATCAATCTGGAGGTTTGTAGTTAGAAAGAAGTGAGCTTAGCAGACCTCTGTAGCCCTCATCTCTGTTTGAGGCTAATGACTTGAGGCTATATTAGCGTTACTAGCATAACACACCTGAATTTCTGCAAAAAAAAAGCCAAAGCAAAAACGAAATTCCAGACAGAATGTGAAAAGAAAGTTAATTCAGGATGAACAGGATCTGGTTGATTGTGTTCCTTCAAGAGGGTGCACGTGTTTTGCTGCTTATTTTGCTACCTGTCATCCTGGACCTTCTGCTGATTGTAGCGCACATGGAAGTCTCTGAGCTCCTCTATCAGTCCAGCAGACAACATCTCATCTACACGAGCATCCAACCGCCTGTCGAGAGCTGGAGGGGAACAGACAGGGAGAAAATAGAACAATTGTATCAGCAAAATAAGACGGACGCATGTAAACAGTTATTTCGTGCCAGCACTGAAGCTCCCGTATCAACATGTCCCGTTGTGTTGTTTTGATAAATAGCAATAACAGCCAAATGAAAATCCATACAATGCTCCCTCCGTACCGTCCATGTTGGCGTGCAGCCAGAAGATGCATGGGTCTGGGTACCTCAGCGGCCCCCCCAGCCCGTCGCCTCCCTCCTGGCCCCTCTGCTCCTCCAGCCAGTGACTATGGGGGACGCCTGTCTCCTCATGGATTTGAAGACTCCTTGAGACAACAAACAGGCAGATGCATTGTGGTTAAATAAAACACATGTTTTTCACACAACCAACAAATCATTTTCTAATTTTTTCAGTTTAGTTCAAACTGCTCCACTATACTATGAGTTTACATCCCACTCCCTGTATGTCAGGCCTCGGGGGGGAAACTGAGATTAGATGAGTCAACCATCCACTCATCCGTTAAATCCAATGTAAATGAAGGTCTCAAACCCCCCTTCTGAGGCACAAATTCAGTTAGAGTTTGAGTGTAGTCTAAATGATTAACACACCAGCAACAATTATTTCAAAAGACAAGACAGGAGTAAAAACAAGGAGGAATATAAATCATGAAATGAGATACAAAACTGTATGAAATCACACTTTTTCTCACCAGCACACAGTAAACATTCAGCCAGGGTTAAACAGAGATTTGAGGTGTTGCGATTCAAATCTGAACGTGACTCTTTAGCCGTGCCTCACTGCAGTCTGAGGTTATGAAGAAAATATGATTCCTGTCGTCTCCTGTCATCGGGAAGAGCAGGGTAACCTAACCTGCTAACACAAAAGACCAGAGTGCACTGACTGCTACTCATCAAGCCGTGTGTGCGTGTATGTGTGTGTGTGTGTGTGTGTGTGTGTAAACAGACACTGGTCCTGTCAGCGTAGATTGGGTGGAGGCCATATACTGTGACTGTCAACCTGAGACAGAGCAGGAGCCCTTCAGGACCTCACACAAAACATGAGGAAACTAGAAAATATTGGGAGCCACCCACAAACAATATACCCCACATTATCCCAAAGGTTTCCCATTCTTTTCCTATTAAATGTTTTTCTAAATATGTGACAAAATAGTTTTATATTAGACACTAGAGCCAATATACATGTTTTAATTTTGGCAAAATTCGTTTTTTGTTGTTGTTTTTTGGCTATAACACAGTTGGTGGCCGCCCTCACTGTTACATTGGTGTGTTTGGATGTTGGGAGGGACAATGTATTTAGTTACAAACGTTATTGCATTATAAAGTGAATTTAAGATCTGCAAGGTTGTGCTAAAGTTTAAAAATCAATCACATCGAGCAGCAGGAAAGAAAGAAACAAACCAAGAACAAGGACAAACATGAAGACATTAACTTGCCACAGCGCTAGCGGTCACTTGGCTAGCTTTGGCTAGCAGCTAACCCTTGCACTTTTTTGTTGTTCATTAGGAACCACAATATGTATTTTAAGGGACTGAAAAACCACAATGTATTTTAAGGGACTGAAAAATCCCCCGCTGCATTTTCCACTAATGTTATTGTAGTTTTTCTTTTGCTATTAGCTGTCTAACCAGCTAGCAAGGGCGACAAAGAAGCAACTCAAAACATGGCTAACACGGACCAATAACAGTGTCGCAGCAAAGGCTTATTATTAATTCTTGAATGGTAACTAAAGATAAATAAATAATGGCCATTATTTCATGTCGGTAACTTTTCCTAAACATGCTTGTGCTGTTTTAACATAAGTTACACGTTACAAGTACAAGTAAAAGATATTTTCTTTCTTATTGTTATAAATGTAGCCATTCAACATATATGATATATGATAGCTGCGTTATCATGTAATGAGTTTAATTTTAAAGCTATGTCAGTTTTCTAGAAATACACATCACAAAAGCTGATTAATGTGTGACTGGATATCCAGTGTGAAACATACACCGATGAAGACATGACCAGCTGTATCACCTGGCTATCTTGCGTTTGTCATTGGGGTGTAACATGGCAGCCATTTTGGGGTCCACCTCCACCAGTCGTTTATGTAACTCAGCTCCTTCTAGTTTCTCCAGCTCCAACTTCCTGTCTGGAGACCCATCGCCTCCGTCCCCCGACTCCTTGTTCTCCTGCTGTGAGAAACAACCAAATACCCCTCTTCTTAAAGTACAAATTTCAAATCCGTAATATATTTATAAGTCCTGTTATTAATATCAGTTTCAGGTCAGATATAATGTGCAATAATCAATAATCACGCAGCGTGAAGACACAACCCTTAAAAGTCATGCATTGACAACTGAGAAATGAAACCATTCACACATTTTTTTTTAAATCACAAAGCACTGAAAGGGTGCTTGTTTTCGCATGCATAAAAGTGGGTGAAGATAAATAAGAAATGCGAGATAAACAGTGTCAGAGGGGCACATGAAGGGAGGTGTATTTGAGTTGTACTCGCTCACCCCAGTATCCAGCAGGACTTTCCACAGCAGAGACTCAATGTAGTAGTTTGTTCCACCTACAATGACTGGCAGTTTGTTTCTGCCGTGCATGTCATCTATGTTGGAGCATGTTAAGGAGGAACCTGATCTGTGCACACTTTATGTCCATGAACAATTCCAGTACGACTTCACCTGTTGCTAATTTTGACAGTTTTTGCTTGAATGCACAACAATTAAACCCCGTTTGAAACGACCTGTTGAGCTCATTTAATGGCTTTCACACATTAATGGCATAAAAAAAAAAAAAAACAGCTCCAGCTCGTTCTAATTCAATCAGTGACTGTGAAAGGCTGACAGGCGCATTTAGCTAAATTGCATACAACTCCTCGGCCTATTAAGGTTTACTGTTGAAAGAATTTCTGTTGAATGGTTTAATATTATATGCACATTCAAGAATACAGTAATAATCCAGAGTGTTCCAGCTTAAAAATTCAAACAGTATAAAAAAATTCAAGTGAACAGATGCACAGAACAAGACAGTTCTGCAAATGTTAGTTACACAGAAAATAAATAGAAGCCTGATCTCAATGTGGCAGTCTCATCTTCAGTGCGAGTCTGTTTCTGAATATCTAGCTTGCAAAACAATGTTAAAAAACAGAAAATTCAATTATATCTTTATATATCAGTTGTGAAAAAAGTCAGCAGTGAACAGGGATCAAACAAAAAGGAAATGCAGAAAATCACCAAGAACCTCAACATATTAAAACTGTCCTTTTAATAATTTCACGCATCGACGCAGCATGTGCCCCATAAAAGAAAAGCCTCAGCAGAATACTTAATAAACAAGAAAAAGCCACTTAAAGCCAGCAACAGACTGTAACATTATAAAGAGGATATACTGGCTGTGAGTGAATTTCTTCTTCTTGTCAGCATTAACAGTAACCGAGAGCAGTGCGGCTGACACAATGATACACTCTTATAGAGGTCATTTAATATAACGTGTGTATGAGGTAAATACTAAGCCGCAGACTGGGCGTCGGACCAACACTTTGAGTCAAACGGCGCTAAAACAATTAGTCGATTGATTGGTTAATCGACTGACAGAAACTTGAGGAAAAGCATCAAAGTTACTCTCAAATGTGAAGATTTGCCGCATTCCTTTGTCATCTGTAAAAGTGGCTCTCAACCTTTTTTGGCTTGTGACCTAATAAATCATGAAATAAATAAATCACTGTCTACTTGTGAGCTCTTGTTACAAGTGTGAAAGTCTTCACTTCACTTCTCAGATTGTGTCATTCGAATAAATCTAAAGAAACAAAGCAAAGACAAGGGCAAAATAATTTAAATATGTGTTGCTGAACTGTGCTTTTTGTTCTTTCCTGCCTCATTAATCATCTCACGACCCCTCTGATTTACCCTTCCACCCACAGGCAGGGAATCACTGCTTTATGGTAGTAAACTGAACTGTTGGTCACACAAAACACACAATTTTAAGGTGTCAGCTTAGGCATCTGGGAAATTTAGTTTTCTAACATTTTACAGAACACATTAGTAATTGATTTATTGATGTTTAATACTGTCCTTCTATCACAAACTCAATATGAGCCACTCAGTTCAAACAAACATGAATTATTGAATTTTAGACCTTACTGGTCACACAGACAGAGCCACGCCTTATTTCCCTCGCCCTCTCCTTTTCTGTCGCATCTTCTCTCATCTTGCACCTTTTCTTTTCCCTCCTCCTCCCCTGCCCACCTTCTCTACTCAGGGATAATCAAATAACCACTGAAACAAGATAAAGGCTCATCAGCCATCGTCACTCACCTCCCCCCCCCTCGCTCTCTCTCTCTCTCTCTCACACACACACGCACGCACGCACGCCAGACAGGGCTGCATCTCTGTGTTTGCAGATGAGAAACAGGAGGAGGGGATGGAAAAGAGAGCGAGGGTGATCGCTGACAAACTGCAAGGAAAATCAAGGGAGGGAAAACAGTAATAGGGCTGGAAGATTGAAAGCAATAAAAGGAGAGAAAGAGGAGGGGAAGCAAGGAGGGGTTTGGAGAGAGTGGGTTGATGTGAGTGGCATGTTGACTGAAGGGTTGAAAGCTGATGATGCGTCTTTAAGTCCTGCGTCTTTGAACTTCTCCAGCCTGTCAACCTTCTCCAACTATCACACACACCCCTTCCTCTTTTCCCCCTCCATCGTCTCTTTTTCCCACTTTACAGTTGAAAATCCTCCAAGCAGCTTCTATCCCTTCTGATTTGTATTGTATCTGTGCTCCTACTTTCCATTTCTCCCTCTTCCCAACAGCAGGCTCACGCTGCACTGAGCCTATTCTTGGAGCTACCGCATCCCCTCGCCGCACTGGTGTGTGTATGTGAGTGAGACTGTGTGTGTGTGTGTGTGTGTGTGTGCATGCCTTCCTGATCTATAAATACCGTCTCTAGTTATCGCCTCCTCTCTCCACATCTGTGTGATGGCCAGGGTCTGCGAGAGGGTGTGACTGCCCAGAGTGTGTGTGTATGTGTGTGTGTGTGTGTGTGTGTGTGCATAGACGCATTAAAGACACAGACTCCTCTATAAATATCATCTCTAGTGATCGCTCTCTTCTCATTTTCAGTGCAACATCTGCAGCGAGACACACTGACAAAACGAGGACATAGCAGATCTTCTTCTTCTCCCCACACACACACACGCACTCCGCACGCACGCACGCACGCACACAGACCTCCAGACCAATTACCAAAAGTCAAATGGACAGAATTCTTTCCCTGCAGTTACCACTTAATGATCTGGCGGGGAAGATGTGATAGGGGTGATAACAATATGTGGAGAGGTGTGAAGGAAAATATGGTTCCTCTGCCTTAAAATGTTTGCAGGAAAGGATATTAGAGCCAAGGCTTTGTTCCTGAAGTCCACGACCGTGTAGCTGCTAACTAACGGATCCACGCAGCTGATCATGTGATGTCTGCACTGGGCGCACTCCTCAGCCGTCACCTTATTGGTAATGATGTCCAGGCCATGGTACACCTGAAGGGAATGCAAATGAACCACAAAAACAAAATAAAGAAAATGAAAACGTTCACAAAAAATGAAAACAAGAACACTCATGGAGGAGCTAAAAATAGAAACTGCATAAAATTGCCCAATAATGAACTCTAAGAATGGAAGTTCTTTGTCCTAGAAAGCATAACACCCTGGACAACACTGGAAAAAAAGAAGTGTCTATAAAACAAATAGGGCAGGAGACTGAAATCCATGCTAGTGGCGGGGTGTGTGTGAGTGTATCTGTCAATGTCAGAAGCTGGAAGCAGGCTGTTACGGAGGAAGGAATGAGGAGCACTGCCCGTCGTCCATGTGAAATGGCTCTGACCGTTCCTGCAAATTATGATACACACCTCCTCTGTCCATTTTACATCACCCAGCGAGGGGGCTCCCTCGTGGAATCTGACAGCTGGGTGTCATACAGTAGTCCGTCATGATTTTCAACACAGACACAGCCAAGAGTGGAGAGATTTAAAAGGGATATGCAGAGCTTTCTACCAGGGCTTGTCTTTTTAGAGGCATTTTTCCACGCAAACAAAATCTTGATGTCCTTTGTTTCATGTCATTGATTATTCTGAAACTCTAACTCTGATCAGGTTCCATTTATGTACTGCATTTGTTATATGAATTGGAGACACATTTTCCCCCCTAATGTGGTCAACTATGTTCTGCACATTTTGGTTTGGAAAGTCACAATATGATTGTATCTTGAGTGTATGTACATATTTATGCTTTCCAATTACAGTCCAGTATATGTTACACCAGGCATTAGAAGACAAAAGATCTAGTATTTTTTGGATAACAGTGTATAAACTGAACAGTCAATGGTAGAAAAAAGCAAATCTTGGATTCTCATTAGTTTTAGTGAAACTACCAGTATATTTGGTTATACTGTGAAGATTTATTTTGGTTACATGGTACTGCTTAGTGGCCTCTGAAAGGTGACTGTCTTAGACTTAGTTATCCACTGGCAAACCACTATAAGGCTTGTACTATGAAGCAGCTGACAGAGGCGGTAACTGCAGTTGTAACCTCAAACTTGTGATCATAGTAATGACCGGGCCTTCTCATTTCTCTATTTTCTGCTTCCTCGTCTCCTCTCTCCTCCGTCCTCCTGCCTGCAACCCAGAAACTGATCTCAGCGCACGATTGTGAAGGACATCTTAATTCCTAAAATGCATCTCAAGAGGAGAGAGGAGGTTTGCCAGAGGATCTATGAGTTTATCCTTCGCAGAAGTCTTTTCAAATGTTTTGCTACCCGTGACTTATAAAAGAGGCATGCCACACAGCTGGAATATACAAACCATGGCGGTTAGTTGTGTTAGTTATTTAAGATGATCAAATGTGCAATCGTTTCAGTAGCGACTCGTAGGGCGCTGTTCTAAACACACTGCATTCCTCTGTGACATTTCACCTTGATACAAGCAGTCACTTTGGTAACAGCCAAAAAAAACCCTCCTCAGATACCGACACACACATAAGAGATTTCTCAAAGGGAGTTTGGCTTAATATCTTCCCTGAAAGTACAGAACACAATGAAAAACTAATATTGTTATCAATAACAGTGCAATATAAACTGAGCTTTATAGTGAAAGAGCAGTTTTATTGGTCATGACTGAAGGTAAATGGCTCTTTCGGGTGTTAATGAAATTTCTTTTATTTATAACTACTATACCTATTTGTGTGAGGATATGTTTGTATAGAGTATGGTGTGTGTTTTAAATTAGAAGGATGTCTCATTTTGTTAAATGCCTTTCTTCTCGTGTTTCTTCCTCACCTCTTCCACGCACATCTCGAGTGGGAGGGACTAAGACACGAGGAGAGGAGGTGGGGAAGGAATCAAGAATGTACAAATTGACAAACTATGTCATATAATATATGCCCTGCTAGCATAAGCTGCATGGCTTCTGATCTCATGGCACAAGACAACAAAGGTATAGAATCTAACCTTCCATAAGGGGCCACAGTAAGCTTTGCTTAAATATAGGTGAAGCTACAATACATACCAGCAACTGACTGAGGTTGATATAAGTCCCGTTTAACTTTTTCAACTCTCAGCCCTTGTTGGGGGGCTTAAAATGAACAATGGAGACACACTGCCCCAAGGATCATTGACCAGTGGATCATTGGTCAAAAGTAAAGTTTAGAAAAAACACAGTTGGTAGTTTTACTGTACTGTTACGTAACAAACACAAGAGGAAATGTACTGCAGTGTCGGTCCATCCCTCAATTGCTGGCTTCAAAACCACTTTGGTGTAGTTGGGTACTGTAGATGGAGCAGCATTAATTCTACAACATGCTAGCACAACAACATTTGGACAGTAAAGAAATTGGAATCTTGTATCATTATGCAGTTTACGGGCCTAATAATCAAGTTGCAGACGGCAAAATATATGTATCATGTAAATATACCTCTATAGCCCCGTCCTCTGCACAGCATCTGTGTATAGTCTACCATCAACCATTCAAAGTATGTCTGTGTGGCTCTGAAAGTGAATCAGCCTGAAGTTGCCAGGAAAACCTTATGAAAACCCTTTTGAGTCAAAAAGTTCCCAAACAATTTTACCGGTAGGCTGAAACTTCTGGTTGGAGTCATCCTTGATTTGAGTAAAAAAAAATAAAATAAAAAAAGCTTGGTGAAGTGCTCTATTGTTCAATAATTCAGTGTAGGAAAAGCACAGTCCCAAATGAACACATAAGTATTATTTTTACAGCGTGAAAGAATGGATGAATGAAGTCACTCATGTCTAAACACGTGATCTTATTTTTCCCCTCTGTGGAAATACTAAAAAATTCAAGACAAATGATGCATTGTAAGTTACAATTTTTTACTATTTCTCTGAGACGAATCTCTGTGAAGTTAGGTCAGCAAAGACTCGATGAAGTCAGTAGTAGTGCAAAGATGAGAGAGGGGTGTGGGGCCATTATTGTAGCAAAAGTATTTAAAAATGTGAGTGGAGAGTGCCTGTATCTCAATCCATGTGTGTGTAGGCAGATTTGTGAATGTGTCAGAGTCTCTAAATACATACCGAGATTTGTGAATGTGTACAGGAATCTGCATATGTGCAGTCAGAATTTGTGTGTGTATAAATCTGTATTCAGATCTTCTAGTGTATTAAAATTTCTTATGTGCAGACAAATCTGTAAATGCTTATATATTAATGGCTTTTTACAGGGGACTTTTGCTACTTCTGCCGCAGCAGAGATCTGTAAATGCGTGTGCCTCTGTAAGAACCAAGCAACAGTCCAATCTTACAATTTAACTTGTCAACATCATATTATGTATGTAGTTAGGAGGTTACATTAACGAATTAAGTCAACATTATCTAGCAACTGATAAAAAATCTGCCAGCGATGGTTGCAACTAGATTTGAGAAACCTGCTTTTGTCTATGTCTGTCTGAAATCACAAACCGTAGCATAAACTGCGTGAACTATATTTTTGAGTTTATTACTCCAAGATTATCATAGTTTTTCCTTCTTTAGTTTCGTTAATCTTCCCAGTTTTAGTATTTTGGTTTTAAATTTCTTAAAATGCTAATGTGTCCGTTTTACTTTTTTAATTTAGGTCAGATAGTGGCAAGACATTAGTTTGTGTCAAATGTCCTTTTTAAACATACGTTTGCGTAATCTTTGTCCTGTTGGTGAAAGGTAGAACATGTAAGCAAGAACCAAAATATATAATTTACTTGTGTCTCTACTTTCTGTTTAGGAAGAGTTTTGTAGTGCAAGGCATGCCCACATCCCCTTGAATACCTCCTAACTTTGTTACCATGCATCTCCCAGTAGGCAAAATACTAAATTTCAAGGCAACAACATCACAGACTGTTTAACCAAACATACAGGCACTGAGTAATCAATAAAGCTGTGCAGGTTATTGATCATATCCTTGGTGAAAGTGCGTGTGTGGGTTGCGTGTACTTCACCAAATGTTCTTCAGCACCAAGGCAAGCCAAAAGTGGGGAGCAGGGCAGGGCAGAACAACCCAGCCTGATAAATTATTTAAAGCTTCTCTGCACGACACGGCTGCCAGCCAAGGGAGAGATGGATGCATGGATGGACAGATGAAGGAGATGGAGAGCAAATGAAGGAGGGTGAAGGTTTGAAGGGGTTTTTGGAAAGTAAGAGTGTTGGAGATGACGAGAGAGAACAGGAGATGAACAGACATAAGAGGAGACAGAAGTGCGCTGCGTACTTGTTACAGAGAACAGGATGCTCCCTGACAAATTTGCACACATTATCCACCATCACCCCTCCTTTGCCTTCACTGCTCTTCCTCTCTTCCTCTCTCTCGCTCTCTCACACACATACACACACTCACGCAGAGTGAAGACAGAATGATAGGTAGCAGAGGGATGGTGAGAGAAAGACAGAGAGAGATGCTTGGAGATATAGGTTGGCATCAGGTTGGCGTGAGTGTGTGTAATAAAGAGAAAGAGATACACTTAGTAGGGGTCATGTGTCTCATTTTGAGCCAGATTAATGCACTTTTGTTCCCCACATTTGAAAAAACAAAAAACTTTTCTTTAAAGTTTACATTTCATGACAATTGATAGCTACAGAACAGCTACTAAATGGACCTTATGGCGAGATTTTGTCATGTATTGTTTTCAAAGCTAAGGTTGAAAGTTACTTCTACCACCATTCAAGTAGATTTACAGCATTTTGCAGCAAAAAGTATTCTACTATCTTTCATTTTGCTCTTTTTTTATGAAGTTATTTCCTGTTTTTTTCACTCTTTCACTTCCATCCTCCCTTCTACATTATGGCTAACAGCCCCCCTGGTTCTTCTAAAACTCACTTTTCTTTCTCTTCAGCAGCAGTAAAGTTTCCCCCCTTCCATCTGTCCTCCTCCTCCTCCTCTTTCTCCTCCTCCCAATCCCTCCTTTTCGTCCGTTCTTACCTGCCACCGACAACACAGCTAATCATTATATAAACACTCCTCAATGTATATTTATGTGTGCTTGTGTGTTGCAAAAGCAGGCT